ATTGTGTTCCTTTTCTTGGATTACAAAGGTTTTCTCATGTTATGGAGTTGCATAAAAAAGCAAAGTTAGTAATGGCTGAAAATATTCACTAATTAAATAGTCATTAATAAAATTAGTCCCCATTCAAACATACTGTTTTCACTAGCCTGGATTTTCATCCATCCAGCCCATGTCTTTGAAGTTCAGGAATTTGCTGCTGACCAAATATATACAATTATCCCAAAATAAAATGCAAATATGAGATAAACTGTTACATTGTTAGAAATGTTTTGCACAAGCCAAAATCACAGAAAAATAAGATTCTGGCAAAGTCAGACTAGAGGAGAAAACCAACGAGAATGAGAATATAATAGGTGTTTGAAAAAAAACAATGATTCAAATATTATAGGATTAAAGAGATATTCTTGGAAAACCATAAAATATTCTGATATATTTTTGCAAAATGGCCTTTTATTAGAAACCCTGTGTTACAGATTTAAATACTTAAAATTGTACAGGTACCTTGATAGAAACCTCAAACACGTTTTTTTTTTGAGAGAGAGAGTACTGCTCTGTTCTCCAGGCTGGAGTACAGTGGCATCATCATAGCTCACTGCAACCCCCAATTCCTGGGCTTAAGCAATCCTCCTGCCTCAGCCTCCCAAGTAGCTGGGACTACAGGAATGCACCAGGACGCCCTACTAATTTTTCTATTTTTAGTAGAGATGGGGTCTCACTCTTGCTCTAGCTGGTCTTCAGTTCCTGGCCTCAAGTGATACTTCCCCACCTCGGCCTCCCAGAGTGCTAGGATTACCGGCATGAGAGACCACACCTGGCCCAAACACACATTTTATGTTTTTTTTTAAAAAAAAAGGCTGCAAAAAACTTTTTATTTTCACTAAAGGATCTGTATCAATGTCAGTATTCTAGTCTTTATTACATTTAAACTGCCCAGTAGATACATGAAATATATGCATATTAGGGTATGATATGACAGAATGCCCACACTTCTTATGGTTATTAAGAAAACTTTATATTCAACTTCCTAACCACCTTCTG